GTTTCTACTAAAAATACAAAAAGATTAGCTGGGTGTGGTGGCAGGCGCCTATAATCCCAGCCACTCAGGAGGCTGAGGCAGGAGAATTGCTTGAACCTGGGAGTTGGAGGTTGCAGTGAGCCAAGATCACGCCATTGCACTCCAGCTTGGGCAACTTGAGTGACACACCATCTCAAAAAAAAAAAAAAAAAAAAAACATACAACAAAAACAAAAATTACCTGGGTGTGGTGGCACGCACCTGTAATTCCAGCTACTTGGGAGGCTGAGGCACCAGAATTGCTTGAACCTGGGAATTGGGGGTTGCAGTGAGCAGAGATCATGCCATTGCACTCCAGCCTGGGCTACTGAGCAAGACCCCATCTCGAAAAAACCAAAAAACCAAAAAACAAAAATTAGCTGGGTGTGGTGGCACGCATCTGTAATTCCAGCTATTTGGGAGGCTGAGGCAAAAGAATTGCTTGAATCTGGGAGTTGGAGGTTGCAGTGAGCCAAGATCGTGCTATCCAGACTGGGTGACAGAGTGAGACTCCATCTCAAAAAAAAAAAAAAAAAAAAAAGTGGTGGCATGTACCTGTGGTCCTGTGGTCCCAGCTGGAGAGATTGAGGCTGCAGTGAGCTGTGTTCCTGCTACTGCACTCTATCCTGCAGCCCTGGGTAACAGAACAAGACTGTTCGCTGTGCCCTCCCCTCAAAGAAAGCATTTCTGACAGGCTTTCTGGTGATACTGATGCTATTGCTTCAGCACTTCTCTTAATGTTCTAGAGATTGGCAGAGTCAAATTATTTCTGAAGGGGAGCTTGGCTTTGTACAACACTTACTTTCTCCCCCCGGCCCCTGCGTCCTGCCCCCCAGCTTTTTTATTGGAGACAGGGTCTTGCTCTGTGGCCCAGGCTGGGGTGCAGTAGCATGATCACAGCTCACTGCAACCTCGAACTCCTGGCTTAAGTAATTCTCGCACTTCAACCACCCAAGTAGCTTGGACTACAGGCAGGTACCACCATGTCCAGCTAATTTTTAAAATTATTTTGTGGAGATGAGGTGTCACTGTTGTTCAGGCTGGTCTTGAACTCTTGAGCTCAAGCAATCTTTCCCGCTCAGCCTCCCTCAGTGCTAGGATTATATTTCTATATCAACTGTGCTAACTAGGAGCTAAGAAAAAGTGGTTGTGTGGGTTTTTGTTATAAGCACAGGCCCAGCCAACACTGGCTTCTTGGCAAGCTTAAATGGCAAGTTTGAGCAAAAAAGAGGATGCTGTCCTCTTTGTGGGATTTTTGCGGGTGTGGAGAGATCTGGACCATCACGGAGGGTGTCCTCAGCACAGGGATGAGATTTGGTTCCTGCAGGGCCTCAGAGAACCATGGGACAGCCCTTCAGGTGTTAGGGGAAGGTGATTTTGACTTGCTCCTTCACTTTGTTGAATGTCTCTGAAATCCAGTTCTGGGGCTTGACAGGAATGTTGCTGTTTGCAGTGGCTGCCATTCAGCTTATCTGGGATGTGTCCCAAGATGCTGGAGTTGTCTGCGGCCATCTGGACTGGGGCTGGGCCTTCCACATCCATGGAGAGAAGCACTGCCAGGACTGGGAGCAACAGAACGAGTCTGGGGTGGTACCAGAGGGGCACTCTAGATTGGTCTCGGGATAGCACAGGTGAACAGATACAGTTCTAGGCCTTTGGGGGCCTAGGAGCAGAAATGTCCTAGTGGAGGCGATTGCTAACTCTGAGGTGCACTTGCCATAAGCCAGTTGCTGTTAGGGGATGAGCTGTGACCTGTCACCTCCACTTTACAGAGGGGATGCCCACACAGCTGGTGAGAGGTGGAGCTGGGACTTGAACCTCTCTCCTTTAGCTGTAGAACTTCTGTCCTTTACCACTATGCTGTGCCTGAAACCTGAGGACACTTCTGGTAGGACTCTTTCTTCCACAGCCCAAAGGAAAAAGGAAGGGCCAGGACATTTTTTATCTTAGGGAGACTTTCTTGGAATCACTTCTTTTCCTCAGGCCTGCACTGGTTTTTGTAGCAACTCTAAAGATGCCTGTCATGCAAGGATGTGTTACCTACGGCCCCATCTCAGGAGAATGATTAGGTTCCTGTGAAGTTTACAAAAATCCTGTAAGGCCGAACGCGGTGGCTCATGCCTGTAATCCCAGCACTTTGGGAGGCTGAGGCTGGTGGATCACGAGGTCAAGAGTTCGAGACCAGCCTGGATAGTATGGTGAAACCCCGTCTCTACTAAAAATACAAAAATTAGCCAGGCGTGGTGGCATGGGCCTGTAATCCCAGCTACTCAGGAGGTTGAGGCAGGAGAACTGCTTGAATCCGGCAGATGGAGGTTGCAGTGAGCTGAGATCACACCACTGCCCTCCAGCCCAGGCAACAGAGCGAGACTCCGAGACTCCTTCTAAAAAAAAAAAATCCTGTTAGATACTAGAGATACATAGTAACTGCCATATACTGATTACTCTTACATGCAAGGCACTTGTACAGAGGTTGAAAAGATGTCTGCATTTAAGCAGGGGAGTGGTGGAGTCCTCTGTGAATGTAGACCAGCACGTGGTTTGCATTGCCACAGAGACACTGGGAAGAGACTCTGAAACCCAGAGGAATGCATGCGTATGGGCTGTCTGGGGCAGGTTGAAGATGTCAAGGTGTCCAGAGATAAAGGAGCCAGCATGTGCTAGGGCACCAGGTGTGAGCAGATGGTGGTGGGATCATGGGGTGTGTGAGGAGAGGAGAGGTTGCATGGAGTTAAGCGCCAGGCTAGGAGGAGAGTTTAGGTGTTCTATTAAAAATGACAACCGAAGTTGGGCTTGGTGGCTTACACCTGTAATCCTAGCACTTTGGGAAGATGAGGCGGTGGATCCCAAGGTCAGGGGTTCGAGACGAGCCTAACCAACATGGTGAAACCCCGTCTCTACTAAAAATACAAAAAATCAGCTGGGCATGGTGGCACGTGCCTGTAATTCCAGTTACTCAGGAGGCTGAGGCAGGAGAATTGCCTGAACCCAGGCGGCGGAGGTTGCGGTGAGCCGAGATCGCGCCATTGCACCCCAGCCTGGGTAACAAGAGTGAAACTCCGTCTCAAAAAAAAAAAAAAAAAAAAAAATTAGCTGGGCATGGTGGTTTGCACCTGTAGTCCTAGCTATTCAGGAGGCTGGGGCAGGACGATGGCTTGAGCCCAGGAGTTTGAGGCTGCAGTGAGCCATGATCACACCGCTACACAGATGAAATTGTCTTAAAAAAAAGTGAGAGTCTGTTCCCACGATCAGTTTGGATTTCTCAGGCCCTTGGAGCTAGAGGCAGGGAGGATGAAGTAGGAAGCTTGTTGCGGATAAGATGTAATTAGAGATAAGCCTGGTGGGGCAGTGAGGTTGGAAAGTGGTTGTCTGGTGTTTGCTAAGGATAGGATCCAGGGCCTCCTCGGTATCTGCCCATTGCTTTGCAGATCCTCCCTCTTCAAGGCCAGAAAGGATTGGGTGTAAAGTGTGCTCAGGAAGTAGCCCTAGATTCCTGCTTCCCCAGACAGCCTCTGGAAGGACCTTAAGTTTCCTGGAGAGAGATACCCATATTTCCCTTTGTAGGCAAAAATTGCATCAAGAAGGCGGTTTGGTGGCTCACACCTGTAATCCCAGCAGTTTGCGCGGCTGAGACAGATGGATCACTTGAGGTCAGGCGTTTGAGACTAGCCTGGGCTACGTGGCAAAACCCCATTTCTACTAAAAATACAAAAATTAGCCGGGTGTGGTGGCAAGCACCTGTAATCCCAGTTACTTGAGTGGCTGAGGCACAAGAATTCCTTGAACCTGGGAGGCAGAGGTTGCAGTGAGCCAAGATCGTGCCTCTGTACTCCAGCCTGGGTGACAGAGTGAGCCTCAATAAATAAATAAATAAATAAATGAGCCTCAATAAATAAATAAATGAATGAATGAATGAATAAATGAATGTGTCCGGGTATGGTGGTTCATGCCTGTAATCCCAGCACCCCAGCACTTTGGGAGGCCGAGGCGGGTGGACCACTTGAGGTCAGGAGTTTGAGACCAGCCTGGCCAACATGGTGAAAACTTGTCTACCAAAAACAAAAATTAGCCAGTCATAGTGGCAGGGACCTATAATCCCAACCACTTGGGAGGCTGAGGCTCAAGAATAGCTTGAACCTGGGAGGTTGACGTTGCAGTGAGCGGAGGTCATGCTGCTCCACTCTAGCCTGGGTGACAGAGTGAGACTCCATCTCCAAAAAAAAAAAAAAAAAGTTTTAAATGTTCCTTTTAAATGAATGAATAAGCAATAATAACTCCTGAAAAAAATTGCATCAAAAGAGGCAGCTACCACAACTCACTTCCTGAAAATTTGCTTTGGTGGTTGGCATGTTTTTTGGGCAAAGGGTAACCTATGCCCCTTTCCCCCACGGGATGGGGCCGGGTGGAGGGAGTGTTTAAGCTTGCTAGAGCCAGGGCCAGGTGGAGCCGTGGAGCGATTTGGTGACTTGTGCTCTTCTGTTCTATGTTTACATAATGCTCTAATGTCTCTTCCCCCTGAAAATTGCTCTAATTTTGCATTTTTCTCCTGTGGAAAATGTGGAAGGTAGGGAAGCTATGAAGACTAGTGTGTTCCTAAATGCCTGGGACAGAGCTGCCTGCCAGAGTTCCAGGCCCTTTGGTACATGCCTTTTTAACCTCCGGACGTGGGCCGCTGGCTGTTCTTTTTTTTTTTTTTTTGGGGACGGAGTTTCGCTCTTGTTACCCAGGCTGGAGTGCAATGGCGCGATCTCGGCTCACCACCGCTGGCTGTTCTAAGACAAGGTTAGACCCTTTAGGGAGCACTGCAGGAGCATCACCTGGTGAATGAGGAGGGATAGTCCATGGTGATACCAGGAAGGATGGAGGCAGCATCTGGGCTGCGGGAGGCCCTAGGGACACGGAGCTGGAGGGCTGGGCGGCCTCGGAAGCATAGCTGTTGCGCTGCACATGCCACCAGGCTAGAAGTAGAAAAACACACAAGTAAAGTTGGCTTTTCATGTATTGTGTATAAAAACATCAGACCCAGAATGAGTTCGCTGGGATTGCAGTGGCTGGGGTGTTGCCGGGGAAGAGCCTCAGCTCTTCTGCTCCAGGTCCTCCACCAGGTAGGACTGGGTCTCCCTCAGGGCCTGGAGGAACAAGTCCTTGCAGTTCCAGTTCCAGGCTGGCGCGAAGCTGAAGAGCTTCCGCATCTTGGCTGGGTTGGTGGGCTCGACTCGCACTGCCTGGTACTGCTCCTCCGTCAGGACCTTCCCGTACAGGGCATCCAGCAGCCCCTCAACCTCTGTGACCCTCGAGATAAGCGCAGCCCGGTGCAGGTCTATAAAGTGCTGGCCTGGGGGTGGGAGGAGAACATGAGCTGGCAGCCAGAGTGTGGGGCCTGTCCCTGCTAAACGCAAGCCTAGGGGCGGGGCTCCAGGGGGCGGCCCACCAGGACTCCATATGTAGTGGGTTGAGGGTAACATGGTCTCCCTTCCCCTGCAGGGAGGAGAGTGGGTGTGTAGGTGGAGTGTGCAGGGTTGCCGGATCCTGCCCGGCCCTGCTCTACCCTGGCTGCGGGAGCACAGATGCTGGCTGTGCGGGGGTGCGGGGAGGCTGGGCTGGGTGTGGCGGCCTCACCTGGCTTGGCTGCCGGCTGAGGAGGGGCCCGGATCCCAGCTGGCGCGGCTCCAGAGCCTGAAAGAAAATGGGTCAAGTAGATCCTTTCTCTTCCTGCCGTGGGGCCGAGGTCCCCTTGGTCGGGAGGCCAAGCGCGGGGAGCCTCCTTTCCGGCACAGTAGCTTCGTTTAGGGGTAGGAGGAACAGAAAGCGGAAGAGCCCGAGGGGCAAGCGCTGGTGTGAGTGGAGGGGAAAGACGGGGTGGAGGGGCGGGTGGGGGCGGCTCACCCTGCTGCGTGGCCTCCTGCAGCTGCCTGGCCGTGTCCTGCAGGCCCATGTCCCGCAGCACGGTCGCGGCGAGCTCGGCGCCGTAGGCCTCCAGGTAGAAGCTGACTAGCTTGTCGGTGAGGTCCATGGCGTCCATGGGGAGCAGCGCGCCCCGCGGGATGCGCCCGTAGCCCTCGCGCAGCGGCACCGACAGCAGCTTCATCTTGAACTTCTTGAGCTCGTCGGCGGTCAGGTTCTCCAGCGCATCCAGGATGGCGTCGCGCGCGCGTCCCATGGCTCCCGGATTCCCCGCCGCTGCCGCCGCTCGCGCCGCTGCGGCAGCCTACCAGGAGGAAGTCGACGGCGGGGCGTAACCTGGACTCCCCGCCTACCCCCCACTCCGGTCTCTCGACTCCACTCCCAGCCCGGGTCCGTTGCCCTCCAGCAAAAGGCGCTCCCCGACCACGCCCTTGGTCTCTGCTCAGCCAGGCCTCTGGATTGGGGCCCCCGGCCGTCGCGGGGCGCCAGGATCGCGCCCTCCAGCTGGCCTGCGAGGTGGGACGCGGGAGGGGACCCTCAGAAGGGCTCATGGGTGGCGCCTGCTTGTCTCTGGGCTTGTACCAGCGGGTACAGACCAGAAACCCGGGCTCGATCTCACTGGGTTTATTGGAGCACCCAGGCTTAGAATCTCCAGTTTCTAGAACCTCGAAATCTCCGCGGTTCCCTGAACCTTAGGATCCTCTCCCACAGGTCATAGAATTTTGGAATCATCACAGCTAGAAGCATGAAGCTCCCTCAATTCCACATACTGGGGAGAAATGAGGTGGAAAAACGGGTAGGGAGTGTGCATAGCTCTCTGAGCGTCAGTTTCATTTTCTACCACATGGGGATGATAACCCTCAGGTGCTTATGAATATTCCAGCATAACAGGGCCAACCTGACAGCTCTCGAAACCTTGCCAGATGCTTCCTAGGGGAGCTAGATTTGGATTCTAAGAGCTGAATTTCTTGGGAAGTGATGACAAGAGCCATTGGTTGAAAACATTCTCAACTAGAGGGAACATACTCGTTGGAGAGCCGCCACTCTGGTCCCAGGGGCTTGGGATAGCATTGGAGCCTGTGCTGTGTTCAGAATTCTTTTTTTTCTTTTAGAGACAGGGTCTCACTGTGTCTCCCAGGTTAGAGTGCAGTGGTGGGACCGTCGCTCCCTCCAGCTTTGAACTCCTGGGCTGAAGTGATCCTCCTGCCTCACCTCCCAAAGTGCTGGGATTATGGCAGGAGGCACCATGCGCGCCCTCGATTTGTTCCTAATATGGCTGGGGAGGTCTGCTGGTCTGGCTTCGGTGAGCCTCCCTGGCCTTGTCTTAGGCAACACCCTGCTTTCCCTCCATCTCTGAGGGGCAGCCATGCTGGTCTCTCAGTTCAAGTGTGCCAGCCTTCTTTTACCTCTCCAAGCCTTTGCATGTGCTGTTCCATCAGCCTTGAAATCTCTTCCCTCTTTGCCTGGCAAGCTTTAGGTCTCAAGTTAAATGTCATGCCTCTGGGAGACCAGGCTTAGAGCTTTTCCCAGGCTAGTTCATAACACCTGCTACGTATCAAATGCTTTGCACTTGTTTAAAACAACCTCTCCCTGACAGTCTGTAAATCGTGCCTGTTCAGATCATCGTTATCTCCTCAGCATCCAGAACAGGGCCTGACAAATAGTAGGTGCTCAATAAATGGTTTCAGAATGAATAATGAATGAATGGACCTTGTGGCTCAAGGGAGAATACCAGTAACTGCAAGGTATGCCTTATACACAAGCTCTTCAAAGAGAGGCAGCTTCCAGGAGATTAAAGACCATTAACTTGGCTCCGTGTTGTGCAGTGGCTCGCGCCTGTAATCCCAGCACTTTGGGAGGCTCAGGTGGGCGGATCACCTGAGGTTGGGAGTTTGAGACCAGCCTGGCCAACATAGAGAAACCCTATCTCTACTAAAAGTACGAAATTAGCCGGGCATGGTGGCGCATGCCTGTAATCCCAGCTACTTGGGAGGCTGAGGAGGGAGAATCACTTGAACCTGGGAGTTGGAGGTTGCAGTGAGCTGAGATTGTGCCATTGCATTCCAGCCTGGGCAAGAAGAGTGAAACTGCATCTCAAAAAAAAAAAAAAAAAAGATCATGAACTTGAAGCCATACAGTTCTTAGTTTGAATCCTGACTCTATTTCCCAGGGCGGTATTTGGAATCCTTCATTTTTCCCTCTCATCTGGGTTGTAACAATCACTGTTCCTTGTAGTGGTACGACCCTAGTATATTACACATTTATTTACTTACTGGACATTCATCCCTCTTTAAAATGTGAACCCTGTGAGCATCACAGACCTTAACTGTCTTGTTCATTGCTGAATTCCTAGTGTCAAGAATGTTCCTGGAAATAGCCAGATGTGGTGGCAGGCGCTTGTAATCCCAGCTACTTGGGAGGCTGAGGCATGAGAATCGCTTGAACCTGGGAGGTTGAGGCTACAGTGAGCTGAGATTGCACCACTGCACTCCAACCTGGGTGACAGAGCTAGACTCCATCTCGGAAAAAAAAAAGGTACCCGGAACACAGTAGCTGCTAAGTAGAGACATGGTGAAACCCTGTCTCTACTAAAAATACGACAATTAGCCGGGCATGGTGGCAGGTGCCTGTAATCTCAGCTACTTGGGAGGCCGAGGCAGGAGAATCTCTTGAACCTGGGAGGTGGAGGTTGTAGTGAGCTGAGATCACACCATTGCACTCCAGCCTGGGCAACAAGAGCAGAACTGTCTTGTGGGGGAAAAAGAAACCAGGATGGGGAGCAGTGCTCTGCTACCTGCAGAAAGGCATTTTTGTTGTTGTTTCTTTTGAAGACAGGTTCTCACTCTGTCGCTTACTCTCTCTCTCTCACTCTGCAGTGAGTCGCAATCCCTCCAGTGTACTCCACTGTACTCCAGTGGAGTACACTGGAGGGATTGTGGCTCACTGCAGCCTCGGACTCCTGGGCTCAAGCAGTTCTCTCACCTTGGCCTCCTGAGTACCTGGGACTGCAGGTGTGCTACCATGCCTAGCTAGTTTTCTTCTTCTTTTTTAAAATAGAGAATAGGTCTCCCTATGTTGTTCAGGCTGGTCTCGAACTCCTGGGCTCAGCAGTCCTCCTGCCTTGGCCTCCCAAAGTGCTGGGATTATAGGTGTGAGTGTGTAGGCTGGGGTAAGCTGTGTGCCAACATCCTCACCATGGGTGGCACTTGTGGTTCAACAGCCAGCATTCCTTGGCTCATGGATATTTATCATGCCTTCTCACTGGCCTTTATCCTTCCAGAATCTCCAACTCCTTTTGTGCACTGTGGCCAGAGAATACATCTTCCTAATCCTGCTCCTGCCCAGCTCAGAGACCGCCCCCACCATGGCTCTCCAGTGCCCTTAGACTCAAGTCTCAAGCCCTTGGCTTGGCCTTCAAGGTCTTTGCCAACCTCTTCACCTGCCCCTTCCACCTTGCTGATCTCTGAACCTCTGTCCCTGTGGGGCCTGCTCTCTGCCTGGCCTCTTTTCCCTCCTGGTCTACTTGGTGAGTTCCTGCCTGTCTTCTGACACTCACCAGGCATCACGTCTTCTTGCCTTTTTTTTTTTAGAGACGAGGTCTCACTCTGCTGCTCAGGCTGGAGTGCAGTGCGCAATCATAGCTCACTGCAGCCTCGAACTCTTGGGCTCAAGCGATCCTTTCTCAGCTTCCTGTGTAGCTGGAACTATGGGCACATGCCACCATGCTCAGATCATTTTTAATTTTAATTTTTTGTAGAGATGGGGTCTTGCTATCTCCAACACCTGGGCTTAGTGATCCTCCTGCCTTGGCCTCCCAAAACACTGGGATTACAGGTGTGAGCCACCCCACCCAACCCAGTAGTCACCTCTTCTAATAAATAATAGAAATAAGCCTTTAGTCTGCGGTCCTTTCCTTCCTTCCTTCCTTCCTTCCTCCTTTCCTCCCTTCCTTTCTCCCTTCCTTCCTCCCTCCTTTCCTCCCTCCCTCCTTCCCTCCCCTCTCCCCTCTCTTTCTTCTCTTTTTTCTTTCTCTCTCTCCTTCCTTCTTTCTCCTTCCTTCCTTTCTTCTTCTTCTTTTTTTTTTTTTTGACAGAGTCTCACTCTTGTCACCCAGGCTGGAGTGCAGTGGTGCGATCTCAGCTCACTGAAACCTCTGCCTCCTGGATTCAAGCAATTCTCCTGCCTCAGCCTCCTGAGTAGCTGGGATTACAGGCGCCTGCCACCATGTCCAGCTAATATTTTGTATTTTTAGTGCAGACAGGGTTTCACTATGTTGACCACACTGGTCTCTAACTCTTGACCTCATGATCTGCCCGCCTCACCTACCAAAGTGCTGAGATTACAGGCGTGAGCCACTGTGCCTGGCTTCTTTCCTTCCTTCCTTCCTTCATTCCTTCCTTCTTCCTTCGTTTTCCTTTTTTTTGCAGTTTTTACAGTTTTATCTAAACACAGAATGTGCACATGAGCTGTCTACTCGTTTTCTTCACTGCGCAGCCTGGCATTGGGTTGGTGACTCTGATGGCCCGTTAGTCAGCTCTTTCCACGATGGCTTTGCAGTTCTTGGAGGAAACATTGTGAGCCATCTCAGCACGTAAGATTTGTTATACATCAGCAGCACTTCCAGCTCCTTCACATGTGGACCAGGAACTTCTGGAAGCCACTGGGCAGTGTGTGCTTTGTTTCCTTGTTGCTCCCATAACCAATGTTAGGCATCAAGATCTGGCCCTTGAGCCTTCTACAAACCCTGTTGTCAATACCACTGGGTTTCTGCCAGTTATGCTTAATTTTGACGTATGTGTCTGACAGGTGCTGGATGAACTTTTTGGTTCTCTTTTTGACGATCTTGGGCTGCACAAGGGGTCTGAGGGTGGCCATGATGCCGAGGAGGAGATGCCTGCCATCTCGTAGGGCAGCACTAAGGAAGAGAGCTTCCTTCCTTCTTTCTTTCCTCTTTCTTTTTCTTTTTTCTTTCTTTCTCTTTCTTTGTTTTTTCTTTCTTTCTTTCTTTCTTTCTTCTTTCTTTTCTTTCTTTCCTTTCTCTCTCTCTCTTTCTTTTTTTCTCTCTGTTTTTTGAGACAGGGTCTCAGTCTGTTGCCCAGGCTGGAGTGCAATGGCACAGTCACAGCTCTCTACAGCCTCAACCTCCTGGGCTTAAATGATCCTCTCATCTCAGCCAAGTAGCTGAGACTACAGGTGTGCACCACCATGCCCAGCCAATTTTTGTAACTTTTTTTTTAGACAGAGTCTTGCTCTGTCGCCCAGGCTGGAGTGCAGTGGTGCAACGTCCGGTTACTGCAACCTCTGCCTCCTGGGTCCAAGCGGTTCTCGAGCTTCAGCCTCCTGAGTAACTGGGATGGCAGGCATGAGCTTTTATGCCCAGCTAATTTTTGTATTTTCAGTAGATACAGGGTTTTGGCATGTTGCCCAGGCTGGTCTTTAATCCCTTGGCTCAAGCAATCCACCTGCCTTGGCCACCCAGGTCCTGGGATTACAGGCGTGAGCCACCATGCCCAGCTCACATGCATTATTTCTAAGCCTTACAGCAATCCCTTTGAGATAGGGAATCATGGCCCCATTTTGTAATGAGAGGATGGGTTCAAAGAGGTGGAAGGGCTGTCCAAGGTCACATTTCAGCCCAGAGCTTGGCACAGACCCAGCCTTGATAAGCTGTTGTAGAATGACACAAGAAGCCTAGAATCTAGAATCGTTGAAACCTGCCCTTTTTACTTTGATAGAATTGGAGGAGCTTTGGGCATATGATCCATTTTAAAATGATTGCCTGATTCGAACCCTACAATGCAGAGCAGGGGTCCCCTTTGCCGTATGGCCTCCTGCCTGCGTCTCTGGGGCCCTTGTTTGGATGGGGTGGCCTTTGCTTTATGTGAAATAAATGTGATAGCTTTCAATGGAACCTTCAGGGCTACAGGAAAATGCACCTATGGGAGTGTGTGTGTGTGT